ACCCAGATAAATATACCTTATTTTCGGCTGCTATGGCAAGAGGGGGAGAACATGACAAATCACAAATGAAAAATAGTAAACGAGCTGGGCTCCCTTTTCCAGGTAGTCCTCTTTCCCCCATGTTGTGCAGCCCACCCTAGCAGATTACCCATCCCCATCAGAAGCCCTTGACCTGCCTGTAGGGTGGAACCTGGCCATGCCCCCTCACTTGGTCAGGCTCTCTTCATCAACTTATGCCTTCCTCCCCAACTAAGGCCAGCTCCCTAGATGGGTTCTCGTCCCCTGCTAGGCAGGATTCCCCTATACTCACCTACACCCCCTCCTCAGGCAAGGCACACTGGGGGGGGCAGTATCCCCTTCTGCAGCAACCCTCCCCATGCCCTCTGCCCTGACTTGTTATTCCTTCTCATTTTCCCTCTTCAGTTGGATCTGGATTGCTTTCCCAAGGAGCTGCCCCTTCACTAGAGTTTCAGAGCCAGTGCCTCCTTCCCCACCAAACGTCCTTCGCCCTCAGCTGTGAATCACCTGTCAAGTCCCCTCCCCAGCTGTGTGACCTTTCCCTGCCAAGACCCCTTCACCCTCAGGTGTCCCCATGCTAAGTTCAGTCTCTTTCCCCAGGTAGGAGCTCCTTCCCAGCCGGACTCCTCCCCCCAGCCAGGCTCTCTTCACTGAGGGACCAACATCCTCTTCCCCCAGTCTATGCTCACCTTTCCAGGCAAGCCTCCTTCCCAGTAAGGCCCCCTTCCTCAGCCAAGTCCCTTCTCTAGCTTATTTACCCCTCAGCCAGATGTCCTCCCTTTTCTCTCCGGTGGTCCCGTCCTCAGCTAGGTCCCTTTCCTCAACCACATGCCCTCCCTCAGCCACGACCTCTGCCGTGGCACATGCCCTGGCAGAGGTCTCTTCCCTAGAAGGATCCCCCATCTGCTAGGACCCTTCCATTCGCAGGCAAAATCCCTTCCCTAGGGACACCTGGGTGGCTCAGTGGTTGAGCATCTGCCTTCTGCTCAGGGCGTGATCCCAGGGGTCTCAGATGGAGTCCCACATCAGGCTCCCCGCAGGGAACCTGCTTCTCCCTCTGCCTATGTCTCTGCCCCTCTCTCTGTGTCTCTCATAAATAAATAGATAAAATCTTAAAGAAAAAAAGAATCCCTTCTCTAGAAGACTCCTTCACCCGCTAGGACCTCCCAGCTAGGTCCATTAACCTGCCTATTATCCCGTGCCCAGTTTATGTCATTCTTGGCATTCGAACCTCTCCCACCACCAGGTTCCTTTCGTAGCCTGCGTGTTCCTCCCCAGGCAGACCACCCCCTTTCCTCTTGGGCCCTATTCCCCTGCTAGAGGCCCTTCCCAGCCAGGCCACCTTTCCCTGCCAGGGTCTTTTTGCCCCCAGCACCCCCATTCTGGCCAGTCTCCCAACCTCAGCTTGTGCCACCCTATCATACCTGTACTCCTTTTGCAAGACAGGCACATTCCCGCATCCCTTCCCCAACCTATGTCCTCCCCAGCTTCTGCCAGCTTTCCCGGCCAGGTTTCTTTCCCTGGCCAGCTGTCCTTCCCCAGGCTCCCCACCCCTTGACTTTAACAGCCAAGAACTCCTTTCTCATCCTTTGCCCCCTAATTCAGCTAGGTCTTTTTCCCTAACCACCCCGTTCCCCATTATCTCCTTCCTCTCCAGACCTATTTCCCCACCCTATGCCCCAGTCCAAAGCCAGGTTCTCTTGTCCGTTAGCTTCTGTCCCTCTTCTCTGCCTATTATTTCCTCTTTCTCAAGATACTCCCTGCCGGGGTCTCCAGAGAAGCATACTTCCCCTGTCTGATCCCATTCGCCCACCTAAAGCCTCTATCACCAGGCCACCTTTCCCAGCTAGTACTCTAGTGCCTTGGAGCCAGCACCTCCCAGATATCTCCCCAGTCCCAGCCAGGCTCCGTTCTCCTTCCATGACTGCTTCCATATCATATAGCTGTTCTCCAGCCCATGCCCAGATCTATCCAAGCCCCCTCCTACGTCTACGCCTGACTTCCCAGCAAGGAGCCCCTCTGCTCCCTCTACCTCCTTCTGGGGCAGGTTCCTTTTCCCAGCCAACTGCCTTCTCAGGTTGTGTTCCCTCCCCCTGCCCCAGTCTGGACCCACTCTTCCAGCTTTGTCCACCCTTCTAAGCCTGATGGCTCCTTTACCAGACAGGTTTCCTCCTCTGTCCAGTTCTCCCCCCATCAGACCCTGTTTCCGAGTCCATGCCTCTCTCCCCAGGAAGGCCCCATCTCCTTTCAGACCCTTTTCCCAGACAAGTGTCCCTCTGGGGAGAGGCAACCTGGTGCAGCCTTTCCCCATTCAACAGCCATGGACCCCTTTATCAGCTAGTGTGCCTTTCAGCCTGACCTTCTGCCCCAAAGAGTAGCTCCCTCACCAGTCTACTCCTCCTCCCAGTGTCTCAGTCCCCATCTGGCCTCCTTTCTGATCTCATTCTTAGCCCCAACCCTGATCCCTTCCCCAGAATGTGACCTAGTTTCCAGTCCCCTTCCTTCCCCCTCCCTTTACACCCCACCCCAGCTGGGCCACCTTCTCCCACCAGAAGCCCCTCACCAGCCTCTGTTCTTGCCTCCAGCCTGGACCACTTTCCTTGCCAGGGATCCTCCCACAGCCAGATCCCCTTTCCCAGCTTGTGCCTGGCCCCCTCCATCAATGCCCCCTTAGCCTAGCCAGGCCCCCTTCCCCACTCAGTGCAGCTCCCTCCAGTAGGGCACACTTCCCATTTCTCGAGGCCTTCATCAGCATTTGCCAGAGGTCCCCAGTCAGGCCCCCCTTGCCCACCTCTGTCCTCTGCCCTCCTTGCAGGTCCTTTCCTCTGCCCGGGCTGTCTTTACTGCTTATGTTCATCAGCTAGTCAGTCCCCTTCCTCAGTCTGTGTCCTTTTCCCCTGCCATGTCCCATTCTTCCTTCCACGCTGACCCCTTCCAGGATTTCCATCCTCCTTCCCAGCCAGGCACCCTTCTATAGACTATGCCTCCCTTCTGGGCCTTGTCTCTCTCCCCTAGCCAGTATTCTCACTCCTATAAAAGGCCTTCTACTTACAGTGCACCCCAATCCCTGATTTTCTCAGTGGCCTTTCTTCTCAGCCAGCTGGCCATCTGAAACTTATCTGACACACATATACAGAGTGAGCTATCTGGCAGGATATCCCTATTTGCCTTTTGGGGACACCCTCCCACCTCCAAGCCCCCACCCCCAAACGGTGGCACTTTTGCCCTCGGGGAAGATAGCCCTGGACTCTTCAATTATTGGAAGTGAGAGTTCTTTTTCATGCATAGCAATGAGAACATCCCTAAATAAAATAATTTCATGATGTTTTCCACAGAAACATCAACTCCAGACAACCTCTAGATAAAATTCCTCCCTACATCCTTTCCTGAGAAACACTACACTCCCGGCTGCCACCAAGACCTCAGGCCAGTTCTCCTCCCCAAAGCCTTATCTGGCTCCCCAAGTCCTCTCCCTAACCCTCCAGGATTCCTCTGCTGAAGTAGATCTTGGGATACAAACTAAGTCAGCTACACAAAAATAGAGAACCAGGTATTTTAAAAACTTTTATTTTAAAAACAAGTTGCATAATATTTAAAGAAATTTTTTGAATTTATATATTTTGTTTTAAAACATTTGGTGAGTACAATGGTCTTTTAAAATATTTATTTAAGCAACATCATTGAAATACAGGATCTAAAGATTTAAAAACTTTTAAACTGTTTATTGCAAATCATTTCACTGTTACCAATCCATTGGCAAATTCAAGATATCAACAAATCTTGACTATCAACAAAAGTAGATTGCTTACTCTTTTTTTTTTTGGTCTTATGCTAGTTATAGATACAATAAAATGGATCAACTATTTTTATGTCCTAAAATCTTTTAAAGCAATTTTCTGTCTCTAAGAATTAAGGAAAATATGCTAAGTTCAGATCTTTCACACTTTATACCACTTTTAGATGAAATAAACTGGATCAACTGCTTGAATAAAGTTGTACCCTTGCCTGTCTCACAGTAAAGAAAACTTACTAGTTCAGTCTCATCCTTACAGTAAACTAGGCTGCCTGTCAGTGTGTCTCTTTTTGCTTCATACCAGTTGGAGACATCATGAAGTGGATCAACTAGTTGAATAAAGTCATAGCCCTTTCTCTCTTGAATAAAGGAAATTACCTTGAGATCTTTCACATCTGAGACTGAACCTTATCTAACCTGTTTTTGTAAATTCAATTTCTCTACTTAGCACCTACATTTAATTTTTAAGTTCAACAAACGCTTTTATGTAGAATTCAGCAAATCCTCGGCAGGTAAAATTAATTGCAAACCACACAAGTTTGAAAAAACAAAACAAAATACCTGAGGAGGTCGTCTGTACCTTGAGGCATCTCCAGAATGGCCCAACTGAGGTAAAACGCAACCGCCAAAACAGTCCACGATACATTTTTCTCTCCAAAGAACCAAAAAGCAAAAGGCATTCACAGAGCATTTCGATCACAGAGACTCCAACTTTATCTAAGTAATCCAATGCATTCATGGGGAGACTCCGAGCTAAACTAGTTTTTCCCAAGTTAAGAAGGCATCAAACCAAGTTGCCGTTTTTATCTGAAAGGGATGTGCAACAGGACCAATACTCGTCAACGAGGGAGGCAAAGACCTTTAGGGGCCAGAAGTGCTTAAAATCTGGCCAACCTACTCCCCTCAAGTGGTACAATACAGGTATCTCCCTGGTCCTGAGCCTCGCGCCCGCCACCCCCGCCAGCTCCCAAAGCAGAAGAGGATAGAACCGCCAGGCAAGACAGCGTGGGGGGATGGGGCGGGGAGGAGATTTGCGGGGGGGGGGCGACTTTCGAGTAAAACGAAGAAAGAAAAAAACCCGAGAAAACCGAAGGAAAAAAATGGAGCGTACTGAGGAGATGCGGCGGTGGCGGCGGCAGCAACGGCTCCAGCTGCAGCGGCCATGGCGGCGGCGGTGATGGCGAACAGCCTAGAAGAGCCGCGGGGCCGCGCCCCCCACCGCTCCGGCCTCAAGCGGCTTCACCGAGTTGTAGTGCTCCCCGAGGTTGCAGGCGTAGCGCAGGTAGACCAGGGTGAGAGGCTTCTTGGTGTACTCCTCCCCGATGAGGACGGCAGGCGAATCGGCCTGGATCACCTCGATGGGGGTCTGCAGGACGTGCGACAGGGCCCTCAGCTCGAGCTGGCCTCCCCACGACGGGCTGCGCACGATGTCGTCACAGTAGCTCAAGAAGTCTTCACGGCTGTAGGCGTATCCGGTATCGGGGTCGCTGAAGAAGGGCAGGAAGTCGTCGACGTGCTTGCGCATGTAATCGGCCGTGCGGCTCCGCAGGCTCTCCACAGTCACGGAGAACACCAGCTGGTCTTGGATGGCGCGATACATGCAGTGGCCGTCGGCCGGAATATCCTTCAGCTCCAGATTCTTGGACCCTAGGATGGCGGCAAGCTTCTCCTCCTCCTCGCGTCGGAAGCTGGCCAGGTGCTCCATCTCGGCCTCCGCAGTCCTCTCCTGGCGCGCCCTTCTTTCGCGCCTTCTCCGTGCCCTTGACAGGCGGGGAGGCTGGTTCTCCAGATCCATCTTGGCGAGATCTTCAGTAACAGAGTCGACGTTGCTGTTATTAGGGAAGCTCTCTTGGAACTTCTCCAGCTCCTGTTGGTGTTTCTGCTCCATCTCGGCCTCGAGGCGGGCCACGTCTAGGAGCAACTGCTTTCTTCTCTTCTTGTCGCTCTTGGGGACCGAGTTCTTCATGCCCTGGATGCGGGCCTGCAGCTCGCTCTTCTCGCGGTGGTGGCGTCGTATCACCCGCTGTTGCTCACTCTGAGAGTCTTCCATGATGTTTAACGGCAGGTGAGACTCGAAGTTTGGCGTCCGCTGAATTACCGGCTACAGTTCAGACTAACAGCTGGAACCCTGAACATGCTACCGGTCCTCAGCCCGGCCCTCCCTGCGGCACGAGGCTCATGCGTCACGCCGCGGTCACCCTCACCCTATCCACCGTCTTCTTTGCCATTGGCCACTGTCTCTCCACGGCTACATCCCCTCGAAAGCGCTGGCGCTAGGATTGGCTGTTAGGAGACACTAAATACGCCCCCATTAGACCCCCGTAGCAACGGTTACTTCCAGTTTGGTTTTCGTAATTTGAATCCCGCGTGATAAATCTGGCCTTTGAATATTAATATGTAGCAATCGGTCTTGTAAAATGGTTCATGGACTCACTGCCTACTTCATTTCCAATCCTGAACACACTTTAGACTCTGGCCATGCTTGGGAATCACCTGACCAATACTACATGCCACCAACTAAATATGCTCTGATGATGGACTTCCTGTTACTCCTACTGTTCAGGAAGCAATTCGCCTTTCTCGTTTTTTCAGGTCCCTTGACTGATGAACCTTTACGTTTCCTAGTGTTCCTGGAAACACGGAGTCCTTTCAGGTGAGGTCTTATACTAATTCACACCATCCCATCTCAGTGTAAGAAGGCTACAGCCACTCTTATTACACTCATTTCACTACAACTAAGCAGAATCTGTGGCTTATGTTAACAGAATGCAACTACCCTAAGCTCCCCTTCTCTTGAGTTCCCAGCTTCCAAAATGGACTCCATCAGATGCCCGTGAAACAACAGGGGCCATTCATCGAGCCAATTCTTTCTGTTTATTCTGAATATCTAAAAGTTCTAAAACATAAAATAAAATCTAAAATAATTACAAGCCCTAAGCTCTTCCAAATATGCTCCCATCCTGCCCCACTCTGCTCATCTGTATCTCGTATTCCCAAACAGGATGGCCTTCGAGGACACCACCCGCCCCCCGCCACCCCGCACACACACATCTTATTACAAATGAGGAAAGTGGACATTAGTCCAAGTTGTTGCATATCTTAAATTTAATTCCTTTTTTATTGCTAAGTAGTAGTCCATGATACGGATACATTGTAGTTTGTTTAGCCATTCACCTGTTGAAGACCTCTAGGTTGTGTTGGATTTGGGGTTATTATGAATAAACTTACTATAAACATTCGTGTTCAGGTTTTTGTACAAACAGAAGTTCCTCATTTCTCTGGGGAAATTGCCCAAGTGTGCAATTGCTGGGTCATATTATAAGTGTCTCTCTAGATTACATCAGAGCATTATAGTCTTGGTAGAACCTGTATTTTTGTTGTTTATTTATAAGAAGGTGATTTCCGTGTGGGAGGAAAAGTACAGTATTTACTTTTTTGAATTCATCTTAAAAGCACAAGGGAAAAATAAGAACTTTGAAATATTTTTGACGCTGACAATGATCTAGTTTAACTTCCTAGTGGTGTTTTGAAGAGGGTTATTTTATTGTTTTTTTTTAGGTTCTGAAACATTATTTGAAATAGTTAATATAATTGCATTTTCCCTGTTTATTGTAATGTATACTAAATTAATGCAGAACCATATAGAAAATTTCATGAAAATCTACCCCCAAATTTGCTTTCTGTATCCTTCTTTTCATCTATATGATATTGTGCTTTAAAAAATTTTTTTTAGCATATGTGATATTTTATTTGCTTGATGAGGGGATCTCTACTTTCTTCACCAGAATGATCACTAAGCAATGCCCAATAGACAGCTGCTTCTTTTCGTTAGTACAAAATCATCACGGTTTGTATACCAAAAGTTTTCTCCAAGAATTCTAGTAGCCTTTCTGTTCAACTGCATTTGTAAATAAACTTGCTGATGCATTAAAAAAAAGTTTAGTTTTTTAAGAAATGATTTTCATGAGTGGCTATACCATTGTACAGTCCTATTAGCAATGTGTGAGGAACCCAGTTTTTCTACATCCTCCCCAGCATTTGGTGTTGTCATTATTTTTTGTTTTAGCCATTCTGATGCATGTGTAGTGACATCTCACTGTGGTTTTAACTTGCATTTCCCTAATGGCTAATCATGTTCATTTTTGCATGTGCTCACTTGCCATCTGTGCATCTGTCCTCTTGGGTGAAATGTTTCTGCCACTTGCCCATTTTATATTTGGAATGTTTTTCACAGTTGAGTTTTGAGAGTTATTTATATATTATAGATACTAGTTCTTTGTTGGATAAGTGGTTTGCAAATATTTTCTCTCACATTGTGACTTGTCTTTTCCATCTTTTACCTGGTGTTTCTCAGAGCAAAAGTTTTAAATTTTGATGGAGTATGATTCATCTATTCCTCCTATGGGTCATGTTTTTGGTGTCAAGAACTCTGTGTCTGACTCTAGATCCCAAAGATTTTGTCTTGTCTTTTACTCAAAGATTTATAGCTTTAAGTATAAATTTAAATCTGTGATCTAGTTTACGTAAAGTTGGAGGCTTAGGTCTCAGTTTATTCTTTTGCCTGTGGCTGTTCAATTGCTCCAAAATCATTTGTTGGAAAGGCTATGCTTCCTCCATTGAATTGGTTTTGCACCTTTGTCAAAAACCACAAGTTTTGATATATTGTATTTCCATTCTCATTCTGTTCAATTTATTTTTTGGATTCCCTTGAGACTCTTTGGCCCATGGGTTATTTAGGAGTGAATGATTAGTTTCCAAGTGTTTGCAGATTTTCCTGTTATCTTTCTGGGTTTTTTAAAAAAGATTTTATTTATTTATTCATGAAACACACACACACACACAGAGGCAGAGACACAGGCAGAGGGGGAAGCAGGCTCCATGCAGGGAGCCTGATGTGGTACTCGATTCCGGGTCTCCAGGATCACGCCCTGGGCCAAAGGCAGGCGCCAAACTGCTGAGCCACCCAGGGATCCCTCTTTCTGCTTTTGGTTTCTATTTTGATTCCTTTGTGGTTGAAGAACATATGCATTTAAACACAATTGGTTTAAGTTTGTTGGGATTTGGGGATTCCTGGCTGGCTCAGTGTGTAGACAATTTTGGGATCATGAGTTTAAGCCCCATATTGGGCATAGTGCTTACTCAAAAAAAAAATTTGTTGGGGTTTGTTCCTGGCCCAGAATATGCTCTATCTTGACATATGTTCCATGGGCATCAGAAAAGAATGTGTGTTCTGCTATGGTTGGATGACATATTCTATAAATGTTTTTCAGATCACATTGGTAGAGAGTGTTGATTTCTATATCCTGCCTGATTTTCTAATTCTATTGTCGTTGAGGGAGGAATTTAGGAAGTCTCCAACTGTAATTGTGGCTTTTTCTATTTCTCCTTTCAGCTCTATCAGGTTTTGCTTCACATATTTTGCACCTCTATTGCAAATTCTACATACTTAGGATTGCTTTGTCTTTTTGGTGGATTCACTCCTTTAATCATCATGCTCTTCTCTTTATTTGGTAATTTTCTTTGCTCTAATGTCTATTTTATTTGGTATTAATATAACCACTACTTTTTCTTTATTACTGTTCGCATGATATATATTTTTCTATCCTTTTATTCTCAACCTCCCCATATTATTGTACGTGAAGTGAGTTTTTTATAGATAGCACATAGCTGGGTCATGGTTTTTCATCCACTCTGCCAATCTCTGTCTCTCAATTGGTATATATAGATCATTTACATTTAAGGTAGTTTAAAAGAAAAGATTTATTTGGGGATCCCTGGGTGGCTCAGCGGTGTGGTGCCTGCCTTCAGCCCAGGGCGTGATCCTGGGGTCCCGGGATTGAGTCCCATATCAGGCTCCCTGCATGGAGCCTGCTTCTCCCTCTGCCTGTGTCTCTGCCTCTCTTTCTGTGTCTCTCATGAAGAAATAAATGAAATCTTTAAAAATAAATAAATAAATAAAGATTTATTTAAATAAAGATTTATTTATTTATTTTAGAGAGAGAGAGAGGGGGTGCATGTGCATACATGCACACAAGCAATGGGAAGGGCAGAGGGAAAGGGACAGTATCTCAGGTAGACTCCCTGCTGATTGTGGAACCTGACACTAGTGCTTGATCCCAGGACCCCAAGATTATGACTTGAGCCAAAATCAAGAGCCCAACCAACTGAGAAACTTAGGTGCCCCATTTAAAAAAAATTTTAATGAAAATTTTGTTGAAGTATAATTGACATTAATATTATATTGGATTTAAGTATGCAACATAGTGATTTGATATTTATATACATTATAAAATGATCACCATGGTAAGTCTGGTTACCATTTGTCACCCTACATAGTTTTTACAATATTATTAACTATATTCCCCATGCTATAGCCAAATGGTACACTTGTTTCGATCAATTAGCCTCCATTGATACATTATTATTACCTAAACTTCACAGCTTACTTTATTTTTCTTACATAATCTCTATCTTCAACATGGGGCTTGAACTCATGACCCTAAGATCAACAGTGGCATGCTCTACTGACTGAACAAGCCAGGTGCCCTCACAGCTTCCTTTAGAGTTTACTCTTGGTATTGTACATTCTATGGCTCTGGAAACAAATATATTGACATGTACCCATCATTACAGTATCATGCAAGATAGTTTTGCTTCCTTTAAAACCCTCTGTGCTTGGGCACTGGGGTGGTTCAGTCCATTGTGTCCCACTCTTGATTTCAGCTCAGGTCATGATCTCAGGGTCAGCTCAGTCATGATCTCAGGGTTCTGAGATCTGAGTGGCCCTAGGTGCAGAGCCTGCTTAAGGTTTTCTCTCTTCTGCTCCTTCACCCTCCTTCTAAAAAATTCCTTTGTGCTCCACTTAGTCCTCCCTCTTTCTCCTCTAACCCTCTAACCCTCTAAGCACTGATCCTTTTACTGTCTCTATAGTTTTGCCTTTTCCGGAATGTCATACAATTGGAATCATCCAGCATGTAGCCTTTTCAGACTAGCTTCTTTGACTTATACATTTATAGTTCCTCCATGGCTTGATAGATAATTTCTTTTTAG